TTTCCTTTCAGTCAAATCAGTTTTCACTGAAGGAGAATGGACACTTCCTCTGCCTATAAAATTCAGTCTTAAACCATAGTCTTTAAGCAAATATTGGAACTTTTTCATTTCGACTCTCAAAATGAACATTTCGACTTTTTGACTTTTCCCCCTGTTTTTAGACCCAAACTCATTGCTTCGTTTGATCTGAATTTGTAAGCGATCTCACTTGACCTGAACTTGCATTTTTGTAATTAATGAGCTATTCCATAAAGAGCTGAGACCCCACGTTGCCAGGAGATGTATGAAATCCCTCGGAACAGCCTGTTCATGGAGTGTTTTGATCGAATCTCCGCAGCTGCTGCTGAGCTGCAGGGTTTTGCGGGGCCGGAGCGGGGAAGACGTTGCACGCAGCGCAGGGACGACCCGATGTTAACGCAGCATCGCGGTCGCTGGCGCTGCCCCTCCGAGGCTGCCAAGACCCGGGCTCTGCCGGACGGCCGCGGCTGGGTAGTGCTGCCCGCCAGAAGAAGGGCTCAGGCCGCGTCAGCGGTGCCGATTCCTGGCTAAAGCCTAAAACCCTCTGCGCCGGCTGGCTGTGAACCGTTCTGCGTTTGCCAAACTGGCTTAGAGGCAAGAAAAGGAAAAGGGTATTTCTTGGAGATTTACCTTGCTCCCCTTTGCACCGCGAAAAACACCCAGCATCACGCTCTATCCTCCTCAGTCCTCCGACCTGAGAAATCATCCAGGGGTTGCAAACAGCAGGAAGCAGTGTATAGATAGAGAGCGTTTATTAAATGTAACTGCAAAGGAGAAGAGACAGAGGAATTTGAACAAATCTTCAGTATTTACTACCTCCTTTTTTATTTTCTTAAATGAACAAAGTTTGGTATAAAATAAACTTAACTGGAGACTGCAAGGCTAACTGAGGAAAAACTGAGAGTATAGCTTGGACAGTTTCGGTATTTAACTTTGTTCTAATATTAGTTACTAATGAAAAAGTGAGATTAATTGCACACTAAAGGTTGCACTTGACTTAGATGAAGTGGAAGCAGCTAAAGTGTCTCCAGTACATCATTTAGACGAGTACAAAGTAACAGGAAATCAATTAATCTCCACCAACATTTGTTCTTTCTAGTGTGAAGCAGTTTTAATTAACTTGCTGTGAGTGGTCAGTCACTGCTCGCTCTGGAAGAATTTGCAGATTTGAGGAAGCACCCCTCTCTCCCCACTGGTGTGGGAAAAGTGACAGGGACAAATTCTGAAGTTGAATTACTTGGCATATGCAATCAGTTAATGGAACACCTTCCTCATCCCAATTATTTAATTCCTGTCCTGTTATTTTTCGCAGTGAAGCGGTAGTCTTCTGACGCAGGCTGCGAGCGCCGGAGCAAGCACACCAGTGCCACTTTGCAATAAAATAGTATGCATACAAGAAAACCGCTTCGCTAGGGCAGGCAGCTCTTTTGTATTCATTTGACACTGTCTGCCGTCTCTGAACAGTCGGGACGAGCAGAGGCCGGAGGCAGGCTGGGGCACGCGCGGCAGACGGGAC